CGAGTTTGCCACAAAGGCAGACATGCAAGCACTATCAAGAGCACTGGTCTCCTCTTTCAACGAGATCAGCGCAAAGTTTGTTCATCGAGCCATCCAACCAACAAGGGCTCTCACTAAAATGATGGTCGATGAACAATGACGTACATCAACTCTCCTTCGTTCAATGAAGGAGACCACCAGAAAGGCAGCCCTGAGGGAGTATCTTACATCTCTCAGGAAGAACAAGAAGAAGAAGAGGTCTCAAGCCTCTTGCTCAAGCAGCCGCCCGAGCAAAAGAAGGCGCCACGACCACCAAGACCCCGAGGATCAAGGCCTTGGCCCTCGTGAGGGGGAGAAAGAGGTGGTGGCTGCATACACTTCAACATCTGCTGCACCACACCAACCTTCACCTCAAGAAACCCAATCAAGGGAACCAGAGGCCTTGCCCTCTAATGATCAACCGCATATCCAGGTTCCCTTGGCTACAACCCCAAAACCCATCGTGTTGAGTTCCTCAACCAATGAAGAACCAACCACTCCACAAACACATCAACCTTTTTCTCCTACACCAAATGTAAACCTACCCTTAACCCCCTAACCAACACCCCCCCACAACTCAACCTTTCATCATTTCTCTACAACCAGAGCCTACTATAACCCAACCTTCTTCACCTTACAACCAGAGCCCCACTACAACCCAACCTTCATCACCCCAACAACCAGAACCTATAATAACCACAACCCAACCAACCCAAACACAACCAATGGTGCAAGCGGATGTTCCCTCTTCCTTAAGGCATCCTCCAACAGGCCTAGTGGATGAAATTATTCAGCAGATGGAGTCGATGAGGAGAAGACCTCAAGAGACACCCACGGAACCAGTAATGATGGAAAATATCCATCAATACATGTACCATGATCGCGATGAAAGTTTGTCAACAAATCCTCCAATCCTATCGCCCGAATCAATGGATCTCCTACACCAACATTTCGTCAGACAAACTACTCAAGATCCTCGAGTTGTCTTCTCGAATGAAGGAATAAGGAGAGTCATGGACTTAAAGATAAAATCATTCACCAACCGAGCTATCAGATACATTGAGTTCACCGTGGAGAGAGCCCATGAGATCATTAGCGTGTTCAACGAAAATGATCTCATTAATCTCAACCCGTACGACTTAATCGAATTATACGCCTATACAGCTCAGAGGCGGGATCACGGGATAAGGTTTGGAATGGCAAATCGAGCGATAGTAAAGACAATGGAGTCCCTGGTAAAGCTAAGAGAGAAAACGGACTTCGAGATTGCGCTAAGGCAGGGCATTGAGAGGCTATCATGCGCTCCACCAAATGAAGAGTTCCAGGGCCTGCAGGAGATACGCTCTGCCTCTATCTTGTCTCAACCCGAATTCGGACTTGTTTACAAGAATGAGTTTGGGGTTAAAAAGTTCTTTAGAATTTCTGATGCCTTCAAGTACTCAACCGAATCACTTGAATGGTTTCGGAAAAATATTAGAGACAGACTAGGCAGAAGCCACGTGCCAAGGGAAGTGGGAAACCATCTCATTCAAGAGATCTCAACTGTCATAAACTACAGAAGATTACTCCTACGCTT